ATGTTGCCCCATCTTTTCCCCAATGTTTTTTTTAGAAAAAATAGGAAATTTTTTTGGACCCCAAAAAAAAAATTTTTTTCCCGGGGTTTTGGGGGGACCGGCCGGGACAATGATACGGAAAAAGAATGTGGAAAAACCTTTAATTAAACCAAAAATTTTGCCCGGTAAAAAAAAATCCCCCTTAAAATTACCCCCCATGTACCAAATTTGGTTAAAAAAATTCCCAAAATGTAGTTACACCCCTTGGGGGCCCTTGGGCCCCCCCCCCCCCCCCCCCTCTCCCATTTTCGCGCGGTGCCCCTATTGAGCGAATTTTGGCGATGGACGGGACGGGAGGTGTCCACCTCTTAACTTGGTGGTCCTTTCTTTCCCACAGCTTCTTCACACCCCCTTTTTTGTCTGTCAACAGACGCGACCTCTCGACTTAGGCTATCCTTTGGCCGCTGTCTCTTCGCCCCCCCATGCTTTTATGGACAGACGTGCCCCCAGCTCTTCGGCTGCTCAGCGAATGCTAACTTGGGCCCAACGTTAGACTTCTTCCGGGAACGGCTCGGCGGGTCCCGCGAGGAGATCAGGGAGCTAGTCCTGTCGAACCCGACCCTCCTCAGGCAAGATGGGGTTTGGAATTGGTACTCTCAGTGAAACCGGCGCGTGCGGGGGGAGGGGGGATTACGAACAGAACACGTTTCAGTGCTGGTTTTTCTTGGAAAACCTTTGGCGGTTTTGTCCCTCGCAAGAAAGCGGGTCCCTGTTTAACCGCGAATTTTAAGTTTTTTTGGGGTTCATGGCAAGAGGGCTGCTTGTTGATGTTGTTGTTGTTGTTGCTGCTGCTGTTGTTTGTTGTGTTGTTGAAGCTTGTTGATGTTGTTGTTGTTGTTGTTGCTGCTGCTGCTGTTGTTTGTTGTGTTGTTGAAGGCTGTCGTTGTCATGGCTCAGCCGTAGAAACCATCTACTCCGGAGTAAGTGGTGTCATCACAAAGTGGTCCTCGGCATCCTCCTCTCAAGCCGTTCAAAACCAAGCAACGCTCATGAAGAAATAAGTCTCGGCACCTGTTGCAACAGAATATCAGGAAACAACAAACCGAACGCAACTCACGACCAAGCGCGCAACGCATCCCCCACCTCCCGCCCCTGCCCTCGAAGAAGACCATTGCATCCGTGACAGAACGCCACTTGCCACCCACAGCAACCGAACACCAAAAAAGCTCCGACTAAAACCTAAGATCCTCACCCCCCTTTGCTCCCCCTCCCTCCCCGACATATTTCATGCACCCCCCCC